CCTATAAACATACTAAGATTGATTACTACAAGTGAGTTACTTGCAATAGTGATTTGCATTTATTCAAATAATTTTGTATTGATATAATTTACTCGTGGATCCTTTACTACACTAACACTACAAGTACAATGTTAGTTACTTTTCAAATTTAGAGCTGTATCAATCAGCAGTGACTGATCTCTGAGGATTGATAGTATTGTCTCCTTGTATGGACAGCAAGGAATGTGGAGGGGGTGGTTAAGTCTTTGTGAAAGGTAAGACATGGAATCATAGAATCACGGAATATCCTGAATTGGAAGGGACTCACAAGGATCATTGCATTTGCTACTAATATTATAAGCCTAGTGGACATAAGCACATATAACAACATATTTCATGGCATAAAATGCCAATTTTAAGAAACTTTTTGTTCTTTTTTTTGCAATGAGAGAGGAAGATGATTTAGTATATTAGATCTACTCCTTTCTTCTGCTTTTTATATGACTGCCTATTTTTTCTTTCCTCTTTTGTGTGAGATTCTGTCATAAACATATCAAGATAAAATTCTTCATATTGTTTTGCTTTACTGAGACTGTAGGCCAATTTGAAAATACTAAAGCTATTATAACCCATGCAAATATTAAAACAACAATGAATCAAGGACAATAATAAGAGATTTAGTAAAAGTTATTTGAGTTTCAAGAATCAGACAATCAAACCAATGTATTACTTTTTATCTTCTGCTCATTTGAGTTTAGCCTGGCCAATCAGAGGAGAGTTTCCTGCTGTTTTCTAGCAGGAGTCTTTATAATATCTGTCATACAGCAATTCAATTTAGTTGTTCAATTTTTTTTCTTTATGATTGCAAATGTCTTATTTTCCACTTTTACTTGTCTTGATATTTGCCTCCATTTTACATTTTGTTGGTTGTTACAATATCTGCAATGCTAGATTTTGCCTGAGCACACACACACGCACAAAATTGGCATTCTCCTGCTGTTACAAGGCATGGTGATAAAATGAAAGCATTAAAATATCAAGGCAATCATCAGGTCCTTTAGCTAGTGTCAGTCTTGGCAAGCTGGAGGGAAGGACAATTTGGCAAGAGTTTACATCTAGAGATAAGTAATAGAATTTTTATTTTGATACCTGGATCATCATTTTTCTGATAATTTTTTGGAATTAAATTTTAGAGCATATTGCTTCATTTGTGCCTGTGAATTCCAGGTATCAATTGCATATTGGGTAAATTACTCAGGATTATATCTCTAGGTGAAATGCCAGTAAGTAAACACCTGAAAACAGACAGATAAAAGACTTTTTCTCAATGTGTTGCATCAATAGAAAGATACCAACCCATTCCAAATAAAGGTAAAGGGTAAATCTGCCTCCACATATCAGAGGCAGAGTTCAAAAGAAGACCTGCTATTTCTTACTTAACTAAACAATGTAGCTGGTAAAAACAGGTATGTTTTTTATATGCAATAAGGAAGAAGGGTGTGTATTGCAAGTCTGCCTGCTTTGTTGCAGAAAAAATTGATGGACCGATTGATGTTCTCTGTAGCCTTGTTTATGATCCTTGGTCTTTGGATCATCATGTTTCCAACAACACTATGTCTGAGCTGCTGAGCCATCTCTGTGGAAAGCTAAAGCCCATTCTCTGTCCATTGGCCATTGCTCACCTCCAGAGTGTTACTAGCCGTATGTTGCCCCCACAACTGTGGTACCACTGACCCTCCTTACCATATTTCTGTGTTCAGGAATCTGGCCTACCCCTCATACCTCAGGACTCACTCCCTCGATACCAAGGAGCACATTATATAAAAATGGTCATCCTAAGGATATCACTCGTTGAAGGACGTGCAGTTTTTTGGAAAAGGGCTAAAGCAAAGACTGTCATGTGAGGAGCTGTCAGCTTGGCTTCATTTCTTTGGTTTTGTCTCAGGTCTGAACTGGCCACAATGTCCTGTCCTTCTGTGCTGAGCTCTGAGTGAGCAGAAAGCCCTGATAAATCCTTTGTTCCCATCTGTTCAACTTCAATCTGGCCACCCACAAACCTCTTTTCCCTTGTCAAACCTTAAGGCTTGTAACCCTGTGGAGGCTGTGCCTACATCACTGACACCATCATCTGGAGTTGCAGTTCAGTCAAACAAGTTCAAGGAACTTGATCAACAAGTGGATGCAATACAAAATTATGATGGTCTTTTCCTTTGGACCCAGTCCAACAGAATAATAAAATAGAATTGAATTATGGAATAATTTGGGTTAGAAGAGGCTTTAAACATCATCTAGTTACAACCCCCTTCCATGGGCAGGAACACCTTTCACTAGACCAGGGAGCTCAGGGTCCCATCCAATTTGGCCTCAAACACACTTCCGGGGATAAGGTATCCACAACTTCTCTGGGCAATCTATTCCTAAATTATGTGATTTAACTCAGACTGACTGGTTGCTTTGGGATGAACCCCTGTACCACAGGTCTTAGCAACAGTTGAGACTTCCTCATCACTCCAATTGTTTTTATGGATTTCAACATCAAACAACATCCTCCAGAAACTGTTTCCCCACCTTGGACATCATCTTCCTGCCAGCACTCCTACAGGTGCAACCAGGAGCCACAGTCTAAGCATTTTGTGTTATCTGCTCTTATTCACTACACAGTCACAGAATGGGTTGGGTTGGAAGAGACCACACTGGGTCATCTGGTGCAGCCTCCCTACTAAAGCAGGTTCATCCCAGAGCACACTGCACAGGAGTGTATCCAGATGGTTCTTGAACATCCCCAGGGAAGGAGACTCCACAGTCTCTCTGAACAATCCGTTCCAATGCTTGGTCACTCACACTGTAAAGGAGTTCTTCCTTGTATTCTGTTTCTGCCCATTGCCTCTTGGAACCACTGAGAAAGGCTTGGAAATATTATCTTGATACCCTTCAGATACCTGTAGACATTTATAAGGTCCCCTCTCAATCATCTCCTCTGCCCCTGAGAATGAGTTCACTTTTCATAACCTGTCCACACATGTTTGACTGAGGTCTCATTGCAGAAGTCAAAGCTGCAAGTGTAACTTGCCTCTCTGCTCCTCCCTGCCCCCTCAACAGCCTACATGAGTATCTTATTCTTTGCCCAGTTAATTCAGGAAATTAATGTGTTTTATATGCTGCTTTCCTCAAATCACTGAAAAGACTAGCTGAGCTCCTAGTCCCTCACTTAGACTATAATTTGTTATTTAAGGCTCTTTTGGACTCTTCTTTGCTATAGATAAGTCTGCATCTCTGATAGATAGACATCTTTTTGTGCTAACAGCTGGACCTCATGGCTGCTTTGCATGGAGCAGTGTTCTTTCAGAGACTATGACACCCCAGGCAGCTGAAGCTTCTCACCCATGTTGCAGCCAAGATCCACCTTAACTAGGAAACCAATTTACCTCTCATTCCAGTGGGTTGTTGTGGCTTTTTTTCCTCCAAGCTGCTACCTCTGTGGTTGAGGGGTGTTTTTAATGCCAATGTCAAGAGGAATCTTTCTTTTTGTACTCATAACACCTCCTTCTGTTACCAAGTCTGATATTTTAGTTCTCTCAATGCATTGCCCATTAAAAGGAACCCAGTGAGCTTCCATGCAGTTGCACTTCCAGGCAGCATGCACTGTCCCCTAGACTTTATGTGGAATAAGGGGAATTGCTGGGAAATATGTCTTTCCTGGACTGCTGTCACACTGATAGCCAGATATTTTAGCACACCTGTGCCTGGCGCTATACTGTGCAGTTGAAGCATGCCATTCACATTTACTAGAGGATTCCTGCACTAGCTGTTCTCATTAACATCTCCAAGACTTACACTCTTGTAAATATGAATGTATACTCATTGCTGGCTGGAGTTCCCTTCCATTCACCTACATGTGAATGTACGCTGAGCTACAGCTTGAAGATGGAAGGAGAAGTTACCAGCAACCCTCTTTCTCAAGAAGCAGAGTCCACATATGCACTCATTTCCCACCCTCCTCCCACCTTGTCCCTGGATCCCTTCAGAAACCAGGTGGGGTTGGGACAGTGCAGCTGAGGCACAGCTGCAAAGACCATCAGGCTCTTTCCAGAGATGCCTGTGACTGCTGCAAGGGTAAAACTTTTCTTATCTTTATCATCAGATATATTCTTTGAATTCACACATGGAGTGTGCATATGGAAATCCAGTTGATAATATTTTTTTTATTTAACAGTGAAAATAAAATTCAAAAAGAAAAGTCAGTTCTACTCTTTCTTTTTTTCCTGCCTCTGCCTTGATTCAGTATAATTTGCATACTGCAGCACTTGCTCTGTCTGTGTCAAAGACTTGGGGGCGGTGTGGTGTTGGGGAGTGCTATATAAAATCCCACAGAAAGTTGCAAACACAAGTCTCAGTCTTGAAGGAAACTACTGTGAATATATTTTGGTAAGTGTATTTCAGATAGGAATGCTCTAAAAAGTGCATAAATTGCCTCCTTGATACAGCATTTTCAGGACTGTGTTATTAAAAAAAGGTGAGATAGGGTATTCTGCTGTATCCCTCACATCATTTAATGGTTTTATATTTGTCAACATAGTTGTCAATAAAATTTCATTGCTCCATTTCTTTTTATCACATGCAAGCTTATGGGGCTACTTCAGACTTTTTTTTTATTGTGTAAATCAAGGACTTTAATGAGACTGGTTTATAATATTATAAGACAGGGTTACCCTGTGGATTCCTCATTCTAAGAACAGCCCTTCCAGACCAAGTTTACTTCCTGATCCCACCAAACTGAGTAATTGCTTCTGCTTGGATTTGAAATAGGGAATTACATAGCAGAAGTATTTGTGCAAAACTTTAATAAGATACAGCACCAAAACAATAATACCAGGCTGAATACCTATTGTATTTATTTGATTGTTCTAGGTGTTTCTTAGCAGTAAGAGATGAAATATATAATTAATTTCGAATGAGTGTGTGCAAAATTGTGCTGAGTTGTCAATGCTCACTCTGCAGATGTATCTTTTGTGTTGAATTAGGTGGAAACAGCAACTGATTCAGATACTGAAAGCAGAGGCCTACGGGAATACCACTCTGTTGGAATTCAAGTGGAAGATGAAAAACGGTAATTTAAGCATGTTCAAAAATCTGTTGTCTTTCATAACACAACATGCATTTGTAAACAGATTTAATAAATAACACCTGACAGGTGCTGCCACTAAATAATTCCCAAAGCCAAATTTCTTATATGCATGTTTATTATTTGGTAAAATTTGTGGAGATTATTTAGCAGTTGTTTCAAATTTATCTTATTGGAGGGAAGGAAATAAAAGTATTAAATTGAAATAGTAGCTTTATATAATTATTGTCAGAACAAATACTAAGAGTCACATATTGGAACAGTCTTCCTTCAATAGAACTCCTCACGTTGATCCAGGCTTTCCCAGTCCAAAAAAGGAGACAAAATTCTTAGGATGGTACCTTTATTTTAAACTAGAATCAGCTTTCTGATTTGTTCAGTTCTCTAATTTTGTAAAGCTACAGGCCCATGTACTGACCCACAGGTTAACCCTGGTAGGTACTCTTTGTCAGGTACTGGACCAGGACCATTATCTCATTTCACAGCAGCTGTCTGAGAGTATCTGGCTGCTAATTGCCTTTTGCCATCACGAACTGCAAATAATTTGAGACAATGGACTCCAATGTGAATAGATTTCACAAATAATCTTTGCTTCTCTATCTAACATTTTAACACAAAGCTTTTCCTAAATGTCATTATTCAGTGTCATATAACAGTGGATAATCAACTTTTAATGGGCACCCTATAAGACCAAAAAACCCCCAACCCCCAGTCTTAAATGTGCTGATATTATCTTTCTTTTATTACAGGATTCTCAAAAGTCCTAACTGAGCAGGTTTTCAGATCTTTTTACTTAAAATTCTGAACACTAGAAAATTTTATACATCTATACTTTACAGACTTCTATCAGGAAGTTCTAGTTCTGCTAGTTATTTACAGTTTATTTAGTAATGACGCATGTTGTTTTGTAGTATGAGAACAAATCAATATTTGCTTCCAGAGACTATTTAAATTATTTTCTTTTGTACCCTTTCTTAGATCAATGATTCCACTATGCATTTTATTTTTCCTCTCTGTTGCTACTCACCATCTAATTTTAGTGAGATATACACAAAGCAAAAATGTTTAACATAAAGTCCAACGAGAAGAACAGAATCCATTCCTTCTCACTGAAATATTATTCTGTGGCTCTGTACCATCACATACATTATTTATGTGTGTTAATGTCTTTTCTTTCTTCCCTCTTCACCAAGACATGGACGATTCAAGCGCTCGAACAGTGTAACAGCAGCTGTCCAGGCTGACCTGGAACTGGAGGGTTTTCCAGGACACATCACCATGGAGGATAAGGGACTTCAATTTGGCTCGTCATTCCAGCAGCACTCAGAGCCCAGCACACCCACCCAATACAGTGCAGTGAGAACTGTACGGACACAGGGACTGTTCAGTTACAGAGAAGATTACAGGACCCCAGTTGACACCTCAAACCTTCCACCACCAGAGCCCTGGCTGGAGCCAGCCATTGAGACAGTAGAGACTGGTCGAATGTCTCCTTGTCGACGGGACGGATCTTGGTTTATGAAGTTGCTACACACTGAAACTAAGAGAATGGAAGGGTGGTGCAAAGAAATGGAAAGAGAAGCAGAAGAAAATGATCTTTCGGAAGAAAGTAAGAACATTTCAGTATCTTTTCAGTATACAGACGATTACTAAAATATGAAATCTGTTAGGATAAAGCTGTGGTTTGCAGTTTGTCCTCACTCATCCTGTAGAAGCAAAGAACCATAATGCATAAGAACACTGTCCTGTGGCTGGCTGCACAAGATGGTGCTTCCCAGAGTAAGGTTTTGCGGAAGTAGTTAAAGAACCAACTCTAGAGTCCAGTGCAGAACCAAAGTATTGTCTGGTATTACATAGAGCTCAGATGGTGCACTAGCTCTATCCACAGCTCCAAATTTGACACATTCTTCCCATTCCAGTGCTTGACCCTTTGCCAGAGCACAGAGAGTGGTCTTACATGAACACTGTTTTGCCCTTCTCCTGAAACCTGGGATTTTGCCTCTTAGTGAGCAGCCATTTTAAAAATGTTTCCATTCATTTACAGGAACTTCAGCCTCTTGGAAAACCAGAAAGCATAGCAGGCAGGAACAACAGTTAAAGTACTTCTGCAGTTAGACAGGCGTATGCATTATTAGAAAATTCAGCTCCATTTTCTTATTACAATTTTGTCAAGAATCATTATTATTCTCTCATGTCCTGTGGACACCTTGAAAGGAGTGATGGGATAAAGTGAAAAATAATGTAGACTATTTTGGAACAAGATCCAAGACAGCGCTAATGATAGTAATATATCAAAGTGGTCCTAGGACTCAGTAGCCAGCTCCCTGTGATTCCCTTTGAGGTCAATTATCCTTGTTCTTCAGGCCCAGTTTTATAAATATTTCAATTCCTGACAATCTGAATTATTGTCTCAGCTGAGATTTTTTCAGACCACAAATGAATTCATATTAAGTTTTCTTACTAGCATCTTTCCCTGCATTCTTACAAATTTTACCATCACCTCTGAGTACTGTTTCCTGATCATCTTCTTTCCTCCTCAATGAGTTCTTGCTATGATGTACCCTCAGGTCTTGAGCCAGGCCAGCATGCTGACTAAAAGGCCAGTTTCTATTTCTTGCACTGACCTTTTCAAAGCAAAAAATGTCTATGTTTTTACGTCATCTTTTTTTATTTACAGTCATATTTCTCTGCTGTATTGTACACAAGTCTGCTAAGTAACAGCAGAGGATTTGGGGTGGGGTGGTGAGTTTTCCTTCCTTCAGCCTCTGGTGCTTTATAGACTGTGGGTTTTGTCCTTATTTTCATCATGGCAGAGCAGACCTCAGAATTTTCCCCTTCCATTGATACTAGACTTTAACACCCTTCTAGGGACTGTTAAATAACAACATATTTTCCTTTGATTAGCCTGTGGAAGATTTTCCAAACCTTTCATAATGGTTCTTCCTCAGTACTTCTTTTTTTCACGTGTCCTATTTTTCAATTCTTCAAGTCTTTGCAGTGCTGAATACTGACATTTCAGTGACATCATTAAGATTCCCAAAGCACCTGCTTCCCAGATCACCTGTTACTGATGTGGGAACATCAGTGTTCTCCATCTGAAGCACAAGTTCAAAGAGCAAGACTTTGATCTCCTTTGAAAGAGTATGATTATTTGGGGAGCAAAGGGGAGAAACACACAGGCCATTAGCCCCTCTCTTTCCTAGCAAGGAGTCTGCAGGCAAGAGCTGGACTTCTTCTGCCTTCTCTCTTTGTAAGCTCTTCCTTTTGCACAGTCCCAGTCAAATCTGCAGCCATATGAAATGAGCACTGGAAACACGCTTGCATCCCTACCCCTCCCTCACTGGGAGATGTGGAGAGGCAGTTAGAGCAGTTACTCTTTGGAATATGAAACTGGGTACTATATGAGGAAAACTTGGATGACCTGATTTGGCTGACTACTTGTTCTCAGATGCAGAACCATTCTCCTTCCCATCATGTGAACCTATACTCTTGCACTCCAGATATACTCTGGAAGAGTTTACTGCATGGTGAAATGGCAATCAAGAAGGTAGTTTTCTAAAAATTGTACATAGGACATGAAGACAATGTGGACTTCAGTAATTTTTATTAATATTAGGAGTTAGTGACACTAACTTGGAATATTTCAGTCAAAAAACAAAACATAGTACCAGGATTTTTTTCCCCTGTTTGCAGAGGGACTCAAATTTGGAAGAGAAAAAGAAAGAGCAATTCCCTGATAACAGAGTTGATGAAATACAACTGAAATCGTTGAAGTTTCTTTTTTAAACTAACAAAAATGGGTTAATTACTTGTTCTTGGGGGAACTTTTTACCCTCCCTAATAGGTTAAAGAAGTTATCAAATAGGTCTACATAGTGTTTGCAAGGCCAGAATTTGTGTTCAGCTGACTGTGTTTAAAGTTCCGATTTTTCATTGTATAAAATGCATTTCAAGAGATCTTCCTGAAATAATTTCCAAATTACATTATTTTTAAATAGTATCACTTCATCCAATAACATTTACATTAAGTAAAATGAAGTTTTCAAATAATTAATTTCAGCAGGGGAATGAGCTTCACAGCATTCTAAAAACTCTGTGTGAATAATTTTTTTCCTGTTGAGTTTTTAAAACATTTTGTACCCCCAGTCTAAGCTACAGAGGTTGTAAGGTGTGTATCCTCAAGAACTTAAGTTTAATAACATGAAATGTATCTTGACATATTTAAACATTTGCCAGTTCTTGAAGCAAATAAACAGAAATGGCTGAGCCAAAAGCAAATAAATATGGTTTTCCATCTTCCAGCAAGACTACTATTCCCAAAACACTTCACAGCAACGTTTGCACATTCAAACTGTCATTCTTAATTCTGAATCATTTCTTTTTGGCCTGGATATATTAATTGTACATGAAGACTGAATATAGTTTTGCATCTCATAGGAGAAGGCTATCTTTATGATACCACTTCTATTTTGTTTTAAACATGGGAACAGTTAAAATAGAACTGCATTTTAGAAAACATTTTCAGTTTTGGTGTTAACGCAGCAGCCCTGAGAACAGCAAAAGCTGTCTGATTGCTATATTGATTCTTTTCTTTCACTGAACCTTTTGTTCCATAATGTTGTTTTAAGAACTTCACTCATCAGGTCTTAGAAAAAGAGATAATCATTGCAACAAAAATAACCTCTCTCTCCTTATTTCAGAACTTTTTTTTTTTGTTTGGTCAGTTGCCGTGAGTTTTATTTTGGAGTCTCTGCAAAGTTCTTATATTGTTTGTGGAAGCAGTTGTTTGTGCTCTGTTTATTATTTTTATATATGTGTGAGTGTTCATTATATATAAAAATATAGATATGTGTCTGTAACATTTCCCAGGGTTAGATCTGGTCACTTGCAGTCACAGGGTGCCTCCAGGCAAAGATATGTGTTTCTCATGGGTGCTGACTGGAGTTTCAGTTTTACACCCTGAAAATTGTGTTTGGCTATTAGTGTGTAGGTGATGACAAAGAAAACAATTTCAAGTGTCACAAAGCTATTGAAGACCAAGAGGGTCAGGACTCTGCATCCCATGAGCACAGTGATGGGAGCAGGAAGAGCAGAGCAGGGAGAGGGAACTGCAGTCCCTGCCCGCAGCTTGCAGGCAGGGTTTGGCAGGGGAAAGAAGACAACCCTGGGTTTCTCAGTGCCATCTGCTATGTTAGGGAGAACTTTGTTAGGGAGAACAGCTCTACAGAGTTTACTCTCACATAAAAATCCTTAGATAGGTTCAAAAATTATCTATAGAATAAACTATGCCAGCAAAAATGTTGTTTTGCTGGTATTTTCTGCATTGTGGTTAGCAGCTCTGCTGGCATAGCAGTAAAATGATCTCTAGCAGGGAAAAAAAATAAAGATATTAGAGTGTGAGTTCAAAGTATTACCTCTGTCTCCCATTCCCCTTGATTCCATGGATACTGGACCATTCCTTGCTAATCCTCTAGCTGCTATTTCCACAGTACTGCAAAGGCTTTACTAATGGGACTGAATAGTAATAGAAAACACAGAGTAAAATCTCCCATAATTTTAGGTGAATAAAAATCAACAAAAAAACCTCACAGCCAATTGATTTTAGTATATTCATGAATTAATTATCCATAAAAGCTTTCTTAGGTGTTTGACCAAATATAAGTTATCCTTTAACCAAAGAGAAATTACTGACATAATTTTCTAATGCTTTTCACAAATCCATGCTTCAGGAGATATTAAAATTTCCATTTGGATTGTTGTGAATGACTAAAGAATGTCTTAACTGTACGGAAATAGTCTGTATAGTCCTACACTGTGACATCCAATAATTCCTCCCAGGATTTGTATTGTTCTGCTGAAATTTTCTCCTTTTTGAACTTAGCTTTGTTTTGTTCTCCTTCTTGAATTTAGCTTTTAATGGGACCCTTGTTTACCCATTGGTGAACAAGGATCCCGTTACTCTCCAGAGCACTGCCAGATGAGGGCTGTGCTGTCCTAAAATGCCATCTGAACATTATATATTTATTTTTGTGTCTAGACACTGTTGATAGTAAAATTATATTTCTAAAGATTACTAATTTAACTTTAGAGATTAGACAAATATCATGCCCTACTTTGAGTTAGGAAAGTGAACTACATGCCAGTTTCAATATTTTTCCAGGCATATTATTTCAGATTGTGGAGTAATTTATTTACAAGTATGGGGGGGGGAATGAAATGATCAAATTGAATGAAAATTTAAATTAAAATATGTCATTTAAATAGACAGTAATGAATGCCAGAAGCAGATTGATTGTTAGCAGTTTCTCACTGCTGGTGCACTGCTGGTGCAGCAGTGGCACAATTGAACAAAGCTTTTAACCTGTCAAGATCAGAGTTACAGCATCAGATCATAATCAATTTCATCAATACAGGCCTAACTTTTCCCTCTCTACTTTTGTGATATGAAATAATTTTTGATTACAAGGTTTTGTAGAATTTCTCAAGCAATTCTACACATACAGGGGAAAAGACACCATTGTGTTAATTGTGCAATTTACACAATCTCTAATTGGGGTGTAAATCCTGAGCCTACTCTCACTGAAGTCATGGTCAGAGTTTTGTATGTCTTCAGAGCTAAAGTCATACAGGACCATACAACAAAAATGGAGTGCTTCATATGCTCAGGGAGCAGAATTAAGGTTGTGTGACTCTTTCCTGACATTTGGGCAAAATTATCCTAATGCAAGGAGGTTTATGGATTATATGAATATTATGTCTATGTGTATTGGTAGATTTTATCATTATTTGTTTACAAGAAAAATCTTCTAGTCATCACCAAACATCTCAATCTCTTCTGTCTCTAACATTCATCATTTTTTCATGGAGATAATCAATCTGCACTCATCAGAATAATTCCCCAATGCATGAAATTAATAACAAGGCTTTGGATGTCTATTAATATTGTGCTAAAGATTATGAGTTGAAGTGTTTTAATACTTTAATTTAATTACAGCAAGGCAGAGTAGCATGAATATGAGAGATTCTAACCTCTATGTTTTATTACATCTGATTTACTTATTAAAATGGAAATAGAGTTAGATCTTTAGTAAATTCTAGGGCTGTAATTGTACATGTGTATTCAGCTCTGTGACTCAATGGCATATGCAACCATCACAGCCTTATATCCCTGACAAATGTGTATCCCACCAAAATGCTACATTGTCAGTGCCTAAATCTTGACCAGTCTGACTGGGCTTTAAATCACTAATGCTTGCTGACGTGATGCTTCATGATAATGAAGATAAAATTAATGTTTATTTAGTATGAGGGTTTGGGTAGCTGAGGTTCACTAGAAAATATCAGATATATATAGATTCTGTCAGGATCTATATTTCTGCAGAAGAGCTAAAACCAATGCCCCTTACTCAGGCTATGTATTTGAGCTATGAACTGTAAAATGCAGCAGAGGAAACTAAAGCTGAACTTTACTCACTAGAGACAACCATTACAACCATCAGCCCATGGAATCAACCTCACTCATTTTTGCCCAGTGAATCACTGAACATTGCATGGAATAGGTGATGTCAGGGACCTGCTACAGCATAATTCCTCATCCTGGAAAAGGAGGACCTCTGACCTCACACTGGGAGTTTGTATAATGTCCTAAGCTATAGATCACCAAGAGAAAAAAGGAGAATACCAGGCTGTTCATCACTAAAGTCATTGTCTTTATTAAGAATGTTGAAAACCAAATTAAAGCAATTTGCGTCAGATCAAATGAAACATTTATTTTTTATTTATGTTTTTGTATGTTTGTTCAGGCTTTAACACTCAACTATTCCCTCTTGTATGCCAATAACTCTGTAGAGGAAAGCGAGGGGTTTGATGATCAAAAAATCCGAAACCCATTAAAATGATTTATTTCATTTGGCCAACAGAAGAAAAACAATCCTCAGTGAATTACTCATGCAGCCCTGAACCACTTAACCCTTCTACAATGGATGTCACACAGGACTGATGAATTATGTATATTTCTGTTTAATTTAGTGTTGTGGCACAGCTCTACTGTTTGCCTAACAGAAAATGGAATAGAGTTTGAGACCCACAACTCTACATATTAGCACATGCCTTGAAAGTTACTGAGACTTTAACTAGAGCCCAAAATCTTTCACCTACTCTTAGGTGAGCAGATGTTTCACTGGTCAAAAGAAAGCAGAATTAAAATGTAAAATCTACTACCAAAATACTGTTTTCCACATGCCCTCCTCTACTTATTCTAAATAACAACACATTTAGTGCCACATTTTAGTGTTTTCTATATCAGGGGCTGCAGATCAGTTGTGCTGTATCAGCTTTATTCCACACTTATACTTAACATCCTGTTTAAATTATCAAACTCAGTTTCTCCAAATTGAAGTAAAATATATCAGAGTAATTCCCGTCTACATTTACCCCACCTCTCTATATCTTTAACATTATTTAAAGATTTGGAAATTCTCCTGCTAAAATAAATTTTTCACTGAGACCACAGTTTATAATGCTTTTTAAAATTATTTGTTTTTCATCGTGGAGATGGATGTGGAGGAAAGGAACTGTAGGAAAGGATATGTAGGAAGGTATACAAAAGCATGGTGCCACCTACCAAAGTGTGTTTTTTATCCCAGCAGGTGTGGGAGTCAGGATGAGTTAGTTTCTTGGAGATAATCCCCTTAGGTAGTCAATAGACAGACTGAGGCATCTCCAGGAGGAAATTCAGCTTATCTAAAAATAAGTGCCTAACACGGCTGAGCTGCTGAACGCTGATTATAATGTGTTCAAAATTTTTAATTTAGACAGATGACTCTTGGAAACAAAGCCAATGAGTTTGGTCATTTGGAAACAAAGTAAAATAAGTTTGGTCATTTTCCCCAGTGCATTCTGTATGGGCATGTGCACATTGACAGTGAGGAAACACCAACACATCCACGGGGGCTGATGCTGGCTCAGCAAAGTCCTGGAGCACCTGTTTGTGTCCCACTTTGTCTGAAGCTCCTGTGCTGAGGACTTTGTATATTTTCCTGGACAGACAACCTGTAATTCCTAGTGGGTGTACCAAAACATGTCTCAGAGATGTAATTCCTGTGAGGATCTAATTCTTATGTTATATTACAGTTGAATGTAGTAACTTTACCCTCGGAACTGATAAAGAGATCTCACCCAGGGATCATCCACACAAGTGTAGTGAGTGAAGTAATTTACAATTGCATAACCAAAAGGTATAGTCTAAGGTACATGTGCCTTCAGCTTCAGAAGGAACAGATATCCAACTGGTTCTTGAGGCAACACAATTTCAACAGCTCTCAATTTACATGAGCAAATGTAAATGGGAGAGATGTTAATACTGTGAAATTTAAGAGTGTTTTCAGAATCATATGGATTGATGGATGCCCACTTCAGAAAGCTGAATATAGCCCCTTAGTTTTTTCTACTTCCTTAAGCAAGTAAAGTCTAAGCTGTTTTGACTTATTTACATATCATTTATTATTCATTCATCATTGCCAAAAGATAAAGTGCCACTGATTTTTCCTATACCTCAGTCATTTTAAAATATGTTTTATGTGTATAATCACAAACAACAAAACCAAATATTTACTTCTATTTTAAAATAATCAGGAACTTTACCTGCATTTTTTTGAGCTGGATATTGTATTTGCTGACAAAAACCATTTACTGGTAGTAATCCATCTGTATGCTTAGTCCTAGGTAAGATCCGAAGTGCTGTTGGAAGTGCTCAGCTCCTCATGTCTCAGAAATTCCAGCAATTTTATTGGCTTTGTCAGCAAAATCTGGTAAGTCACTTTGCCTGGTTATTCTTGAAGAGTTTAAGTTTTTTCATCCATAATATTCCACAATATGTCACTTTAAATTTTAGTATTTAATATTTTTACTTCAAAAACAATTGTAGTGCACCTGAGAAGTAGCATTCTGAAATGTTGTTTTCATGTCCCACATTTATTTCCCCCTTTTTTTAAACTTAGCCCTTATGTATGATGTTGGTAGATTTTTTTAAGCATGTATATAAATTCAGTAATTTCAATCTGATTATGTTTTGCTTTTCTCTTTTTGCTGTCTTTATTAAACAAAATAAAATGAGAAGGGAACAAATACAAGTTTTCTGAAACATAATATTATGGCTTATTTTTGCAATACCCTAATATAGTAACTATATTTCATGTAAGGAAAGGGGAAATTTTCGCATTAAAATCCGTGGAAAATTGTAAAATAGAATATTGGAGAATACAGATCCATTTCTACCTACCTGAAAATAGGACTGATCATGGAAATGAGATATCTATAATGTTCATCAAATTAAGTTGGATAATTTGTGTTGCCAATTATATATGAGATGTCCTGGGGCTAAAGGAACAGATACGTTATATTACTTGTGAGGGTTACTGCTATTGTTCTGGAAGTTCATTAGAGACTAATTCAATTCTAAATGTTATCTTCATTAATATGACAGCAGTCATCAGTGATACAAATGCTGTGGCAAGATGATACTAACCAATAGAAGAACATAATTCTTCTAGCTGCGGCTGGTGGTAGAAAACCTTTCTTTGTCTCTCTCAAATAGCAAGTGTACCTTTTCCTTCTGACTGTCCTTAAACCTCAAATCTTGGAATTTTGTTGTGTTCATGACAGCAGATATAACCTATAATCTCCTTACATACTTTTCTTTGCTCATTGGGTTTTGTCACATAACTTCTAAGGCAGAATATCCATTCTGCAAAGACCTACTTGTACTTTCCATCCATGAAGTTAAACATCCAGAATACCTGCAATGAAATAATACTGAGAAAATAATAACAAAAATGTCATACCTTCTGATAGAAAATATTAAAATACGTGGTCCTCATTAGGAAAGAATCCACTTATCAAAAAGTCTGTTAAAACAAAAATTTTAAAATCTGTTACAGAATAACAGAGGAAATATACAAAGTCTGACAAGGAAGAATTGACCACATCTGTATGATCAAATATATGATGTGTGCTCCCTATCTAGTAATTTGTTTCATATCAAAAAAAGGGAACCTTCATCATTGTCTGAAACTTTCTCTCTGCAAATTTAAAAATGCCCTCCATCACCTGATTGATTAAGCTGTGCAAACTAAGATTTGGAGAGCCTAATCCCAACACCACTTCTTTTATCTTCAAGTGGGCCCAGCACTTGTGCTCAAGAGCATTACTGTAATAGCAAGTGCAGCTCCTTCTCAGCACAACACTCAGCTGTCTGGGAGAAAGGACAATTAATTGAATTAGTTTTTTCTACTTCCAATAGAAAGTGCAAGGAGAAATCTAAAACTTTGTAGGCAACACAACCAAAAAGATAGCAAGATTTTACTTCTCTTTTCCTCTTTTGGATAATAAACCTCTGAAGTCCATAACAGCATCTTTACCCCACTCTCAAGATTTAGGTTCTGAATATCCTTCACATTCATTAAATAAATAATGGGCTCTGCAGAAAGTAGCAACTGCAAAACTGACTGTAGGTCATTCATGCCTGGAAGCTTTTCTTCCTATACCTAATGATAAACTTTGTGGCTAGATAGTCACTTAGTGCATACCTACAGCAGGCTTTCCACGCTCCTAAAGCAGCATCTCAGTGCTCCAGGGGAATGCTGTCAACTTGTGCACTCCCTTTCTCTAAAACATCCAGCACGTACAGGGCTGCCACACAGCAGTTTCTCTGACGGTGTTTAGCATCTATAAGTTTAAGTGTAGGACACAAAAGAACAGCATTTAATTGTGCCAGTTCAAAATGTAACAAGGGTTTCAGAAGAACATACTTACTCAGACTGAAACCATGAAGGTCACCTATGGACTTTTCTAAAGGATCATGGGAACTTCAAATGGTACATTTGATTGTGCTCTGTGTTAGGAGCTCTTATCAAAGACTCTCACGTAGGGTAAATTCACAGAAATGTAAGCTTCAATGAAGTTTTCTATTTTATGACTCTGGCTGGCTATCTCCTAAACTTTTCCCACTAACTACTTGGGAAAATGTCATTACTGCTTTATAACTAGTCTCTTTTGCATTTAACATTGCTTTTTGTAACACCCTTTATTTTCTTTGAAGTGTCCTTCTCCATGCCCTCTAGTCAGCACAGATCCTGCTCAGCTTGTGTGACATGGTTGCAGGCTAAAACAGAGCAGCCTGAGCACCATCTAGGTGCTTGTTCCTTGCTTTAGGCCTCCTTCAAAAGGAGGAGCTGAATTCCAAGTAAGATGCAAATAAATAAGCAGTTTCTGAGAAGAAGCAGGTTTAAGCCAATCTTTTCAAAATTTAGTTGGCTGTAATAGTACTCATTTGTGGCAGCGTTTATTCATGAACTGTGGATGTGTAAGAAGCAGGAGGCAGCCCTCTTGTGTCCAGAGCACACACGGCACAGCCCTCTGCAAGAGTCGTGCTGGAGGCCATGGTCTTCACAAGCACTGTGAGCAGAGTGGGGCTCACAAAGGTGCAGCACAGCAATTAGCCTTGATTCAGAAGCCAATGCCCTTGCAATGAGTGGAATCATTTTCTGGCTGTTTAGAGGAAATTGGGGAGAGTGAGTGAGGAGACCAGGCAGGAGACAACAGATTGCAAGATAAGACAAACTGCTGTGGGATTCTCCTCATGAATTTCACACAGGGAGTCAGTTCCTAAAGCCTGAAATATTGACCTCTGTAGAGTAAGTAACCCCATTGACATAAATTTTGTAACAAATTGGGATCCACCCAATGAAGTAGTTTTCAGTAAACACTAATCTGGAGTTGTTATGTTTCCCAGACGTCTGTTATAATCTGTATGGCCTCTTAGATCCCTGAAGCTCCCTATAAAAAGGAAACTTTCTTCTAGTGAAGAAGGCTTGTAAGTTGTTTTTGGCTCAGATTCCAGTAGGAGTCTATGGGTGACACTACATGTTGTCATGCTCAGTTCCAGGCCCTAATCTCCCACGGTGGCATCTGTAAACCCAAGCTTGTACAGCAGTTCCTTAATATCTTTAGAAACGTGTGATTCAAGGGAGGAATTCAATAGCAAGGCTCACTTATCTCTCAGTTTCTAAACAGCTGTGGGGTTGTGTTTAAAGGTAAAATGCCTTTCACCACTAGATTTGAAGAAGGTGGGGAACAGAGCCTGCCATAACAGCAGTGGTGCTGACATAGCAAGCTAGTCTTTACCGGTTCTGGCCAGGAAGGGAGAGATTCAGAGTCTGTTTGGCATGCTTTTGATGCCCTCTCTCCCAGCTCCATTCTTTGGACCATCATAATGGCTTCCTCCTGTCCTGGAACGAAAAAGGCATTTCTTCATTACATTCACAGACATGTTTACCAATTAAGCCCTATTTCAATAAAGTGACAAAGCACTCTTCTTGAACTAGTACCAGTGCTCAGAGAGTATAGGGTTAAGAGCCTGCATACTACCTTATAATACAATCTTTATCCAACATTAGGTTAATTATCAAATATAGGGTCATCTTTCTAATTGTTACCACCAATGTTTGCTCTATTAAGTCTTAAGCACATAGAACCTCTTAATTGCAGTACCTGGCGGTAATGTCTTCCCAGTTTCTGAGTGTGATTCAACTCCCTGGAGAACAAAATCCAAGCAGCCCATCAAGATTTCATACTTCACATATACATTTGAAAATCCAAGACAATGTAAACATCAAATACAGCATAAGGTGATGTCTTTGTGGCATTGTTTTGTCTTAATCAGCTATCGTGAATATAATTTTTAACCAGAAAGACTTCAGGCTGGCTGGAATACAAACCACACTCCCTTTGCCTTTAATAATCAGCAGACAGAGGCTGTCAGCTTGTTCCTTTTTAGAAATGCAGGTCAGCACAGCATATGGTGCTAAGGAGCTTCCCATGCCGCAGATTCAGGAAGGCTCGCATGTGACATCCAACTCATTCATGTTTGGGTTGTGTAGGAGGCACAGCTTTCCAGTCACAGCTCCCAGCTGCAGAGCACGCAGAGCCTTAGCACTGAGCAGTGCTGCAGCAATGAAATCTGGCACCATGCCCTTCCTGCCTCAGTGCACGCCGCTGAAAGCCTCCTGGAGTATTCATGTTCCCTCCTTTGTGCTCTGCAGGACCCGAGTGCCATGCCAAGACCAACTTCCCAGGACCTTGCAGGTTTCTGGGACTTACTGCAGCTCTCAATTGAAGATGTCAGCATGAAGTTTGATGAACTGCACCAGTTGAAACTCAATGAATGGAAAATAATAGAATCACCTGAAAGGAAGGTAAGCAGACCATGGACAATACCATTTACTCCCCATTTGTAGTTCTGCAGTGTCCTTGTGTTTAATACAATAGTGAAACACAATAGGTTTCTAACCCTGGGAAGTATTTAATTGGCATGGCCCAATTTTTACATGGAAACTTTCATCAGATGTCAGGAGTCTTTTCTTTTTTAACAATGTTGAGCTGAATTATATAATAAATAAAATGGATTTTGCTAAGCTAGTTTACTCCATGACACTTTTTTCAAATTATTTGATTCACATTCTAAAGGCTAGAACAAAAATATGTTCTTATTAATTCAGATGAAGACAATAGCTCAAAAATTCACACAAGGTAAATTCAGCACGGTACTACATTTGGGGCAGCTCAAACTTGAACACTGCAGTGTTTAACCCTTCCTGCATGACACAAATGATAATAGAAACAGAATGAGAGAAAAACATGTGGCAGAACATAGCACAGGTCACACTAAAGCTCAGCTGACATACTTCTGGGGGACAAAGTGCTGCTGGTGAACTCACTGCACCTCTGCCCTGCAACTCCACCGCTTGGGAGATGCCCCACATGATGCTTACAAACCAAAGGTGACAAATTGCCCATAAAAGCAGTGTAATTCTGAAACTGCCTTTCCCCTCTCTCGAACTTCATCCCTTACCTTGATAATCCCGCTATCTTTGCTTATTATTGTATCAGTCAGATGAAAACAGCATTTGGTTTGAGTCAGTACTGTTGGCCTCAGGTGAATATTTGTTTGGTTTGGGAGGAATTAGGAGGCATTTTGACAACTTTTTCATTTCTTCATGCTCCTCTTGGATTTTAATTTTCAGCCAACGGGTTGGTGGATGGTGAGTTTGCAACTCTTGCTTACTAGTGGCAACTGGAAGTAAGAAATTATTATAGTGACAGTAGCAGTGATATTCCTAAGAGGGAAATAATTAAAAGTGGAAAAGAAAATAAGATGGGATGACAGGAATGGAGCTTTTATGAAAACAGGAGATAGAGAAAATAAAGACAGGCAGAACTAACTATAATGGGGAATAACATCTTAGGCTGTTGCACTGTTGCTGTTTAATGCAGAACTATGTTTTTAAGCGAACTTAGTTATTTAGTCTTGGCTATTGCATTTGGATAGTGGAGTCAGAATTAGTTTTAAAAAAACCAAAGAAACCCAACCAAACAAAACAAAAAAAAAAAAAGAGGAGTCTGTAAAGCATAAGTGTATCAGTTCAATTTTTGCATTATTTGAATCCTGCTGCGCATCAAATTAACTGTGTTCTCCATAAGGAACAGCCCATACTTTGGACTATTACCATTACTTGAAGGAATTATGTACCAAAAAGATCTATCATAATAACCATACCTATACAAATAAAGTTATGGAATCTTCATCTTCAGGGCTATACAATCCAATATTAAACATGAAATTAAAAAAAAAAAATTAAAAAACCAAAACCAAGCCAAACTCATTTAACTTCAAAGTTGCATCTAATTTCAAGTCCACTTTGAATGGAGATTGCATGAAATCACCTCCAGAGGTCTATCTCTTCTAACCTAAATTAGTGTACCATGCCTTGATTATAGGCCCTCATATGATATTTTACACTCTCTAAATGGTCAAAACAATTCTTGATTTAACACCTGCAGAGAAATTTAAAGCTCCTTTGGTAACAAAATCTACTGACTTCACTTTAAAATTTGATAATTCTTCAGAATAATTTTCTTTAAAAGGCTTGCAAGCAGAACAATTAGCCCTATGTTCTCTCTCTGGCTTGAATGTTTCCATAGAGCAATTCCTGGAGGAGACTAAACTAATAGACATGTATACACAGCTGCTATCTCATATCCAGCTGAGGCTAAACTCAGTATGATTAATTTAATAAAAAATCCTGTCCTGCTAATCTTAGAGAGTCTTTTCACTTGATCAGATCACACAGATGCGCTGAATTCCTATTGGAGAGACAGTGTGTGTTTCTGTTTATAATAAGTGTAATAATGTGTCAGCTTAAATCAAACAAATCCATATGAAAGTGAGGTGTGCAGATTGCATGTGCCAATACCTGCAAGGATGGTGGAAGGAAGTGCAGTCTTTTTTTCAGGCACAGGACTGCAGAATGCATAATGGTTGTCAAATAAGAGGGTTTTGTCAGTGTCCCTAGTGTGGATAGCTGTTCATGTAATCCATTAGTCAGCTGATGGGCAAGCAAAAATTGAGCATGCTTGATGTATGTAATCAGTATTTTGCATTTCATGTCTTTGATGTGCATGCTCTGCTGACAAGTACCTTTTACACACAGCTCACCCTTAGTTTTAATGCCCTGTTGCAGGAAGAAAGAAAGATTCCTCCTCCTGTACCAAAGAAGCCCCCAAAAGGAAAATTCCCTATCACAAGAGAAAAATCTCTGGACCTACCTGACAGACAACGGCAAGAAGCCAGGAGACGGCTGATGGCTGCCAAGCGAGCAGCCTCTTTCCGGCAGAATTCAGCCACAGAGCGTGCAGACAGCATTGAGATCTATATCCCAGAGGCTCAAACCCGGCTTTAAAGACAGAATGCTGCAGAGTTCCTTTTTTTAAACAAAATGCTTGTACAGTTTGTCACTTACCTGGTAATTTTTGTCTCATTCTCTCCACTAAATATGCCCTTGATGTTGTGTTCTTTGTGCCATAAGCACAGTGGAATGCTTTTGATTTCCTCAGAATTTGCTGAGCTCACCGCAAGAATGACTTCTTTTTGTATTTATTGTCTGACTTACAATCAGCTACAATGGATAGGGCTTGTCAAGACCTGACTTATCCGATATATTCTCAGAGGACAACAAGAAACACCTCTTGAGATGGAACCCAGCTTACTTTTTGTTATTTATATTTTTATAAAATGTGTGATAATTAGGGATAAGAATAACAAACTATAAATGGGTGCATCTCACCATTCACTAGAGGCATTAGCTAATCCAAGTAGAAGGTGCTACAAATGTAAAGAGCAGGAAAGAAAGAACCCATTTATCTCCTTGACCTTCAGTTTCTTTTCCTAGAACCCAGCTAACATATTTACCCATGCGCTCTGCCACTCTTCTCATCTTTGTTACTGCAAAATAACATTAGGCCTCTCATCTCATTCGAGTTTCTGGAGATGAACAGGGATATCCAGCCACTAAAACTCCAAAGTTCATCAGAAACCAAGAAGCATACAAGTCTGGTGATGGTGGGAATGTCCACTAAGAAACGTTTCCTGTTAGCAGTATAACGACACTCTGAAACATAAGCAAAATTGTAATGGAAGAGGACTTGAGTGATGGGTGAAAGGAAAACGGAAGCCTTAAAAAGTTAGATCTTCTGTAATAAGATGAGTAAAGAAAAAGTTATACTCGCTCCTTTGGACCACTCATTGCATTTTTAACTGTTCTTTTACATGTTAATGTTTATTTTATAAACCTTCTCTCTTTCATTTCAAGAGCTGTGCTACATGTACTATTTCAAACTCTTAAATTGTTATAACAATTGAGTTTCCAGGGTATCCTTGAGAACAAAAAAATCTTGCTTGTTTAAAATGCCAGTTGTGATGTTGTAAACAGTTTAAGAAATATGAATGTGAGTGGTAAGTATATATAAGTTTAAATGGTTATGTTAAGGTAAAGGTGAACTGTGGTTTACAATTGTATTTTTTTTTTTAGAACTATTTTTCTATGCAGTATCATTTATGGCAAGAATAAGGTTCTTGCTTGCTTCAGACATAGGAAAAAAAAAAAGCCTGACTCAAGAGATAAGTGATTTCCAGCCCTGGAATATAAGGAAAATAATATGTTTTCAAGCCTCATATTGTCAGAAGAGAGAAGTGGTAGCTACCACAGTCAAGAGGCTTTCATTTAAAACAAATTAGGACTGAATTATTCCACTTCACCTACCTTCCAGAGCCAACCAAGCAATCCAGCACTTAGAAGTCTTCAGGTGAAGACGCAATAAAATGAGCAACATGCAGCCCCCAATACCAAGGTTTGAATTTTATTGAACACAAGTTTAGATGAAAAGAATGAGAACCCTGTGAGCCAGACAGCCCCAGCTACCACATTCCCTGTTTACCTGCTTTAACAAATGCAATGTATTTAGCCATAGGCAGAACAATTCTTTAATTATACTCAAGCACTTTGGTTCTTCACCTGTTGAGCACTTTAAATCCAAATCCCACACACCCTGCAACCTGATGGATGAGTGAAAACGTGAAGTACCATAGGTTTTGCAGATCTGACATTGCTTCAAATCTGTTTTCTTTTGTTTGGTTGCTTGGTTTTTTCCTTCTTTTTTCCTACAGTGTGTGGTATTAAGCATGAGTTCTGTCCTTGGACAACTGATAAAGCATGCTTGGCTTCAAAGTACGAATCTTTAGAGATGAAGTTTTGAGAAGTTCCTGTGAGAAGACACCCCTGTAAATTGAGCCTGGTATCTGGTATATACTTTACCAAATAGCCTTAAACTATATTTGAAGCAAAAACCAAGACGAATGTATATCCTTCGAGAATGCAAAAAAAAAAAAAAAAGACAAAAAAAAGAAGAAAAAATAATAAATCCCTGAAATATTCTTCTATAGAGGGAAACATTATATTTCCCATCCCTGGTGTTTTCAAGGCATTTTCTATTAAGGAAAGAGCTGAATCCTAGGCAGTGTACAATATTGATGCTACTTCCTATATTTGTTGTACTATTTTAAATACAGAAGCACGTGCAGAGATTGGCATCTTTAGTCTTGAAAACTGGAATCTTAAAGCGGAGCTGCTAATTAGAATATCCACACAAAACCAAAGCCAGTATTCTTCCTAGATTGAAGAAATTTAAAATAGACACACACACACACACACCTGTACACATATGGCAGCTGACACATTTTATCTAATTTCCTGTACACTTCCAGGAGGAATCACTTGCTTTACTCACTTGAACCCTCCTACCTGCAGCAACAGGTCATGCAATTAAGACAAGCTGTACCTAATCCTGCCAGTAATCAGACTTTATGAAGACAAATTGTAAACCAAACAGATTACAGATAAACTGAGACCCCAGCTGGCCTAATAATGCTGACTTGGAGGAGTCTGTGTTCTACATTTCCCATGCTGTTATATTAAAATTTTCAGTATAATATTTATAAATCTATGATCTGTTTGTTCCACCTTGTTCAAACAAACAAAAAAACCAAACAACTAAAAAACCCCACAAAAACAATTGGAAAAAATCAAAAGTAAACTAGATATCTACCAACAAATTTGATAATGTTTGTGCACATTACATTTTGAAGTGCAATATATTAAATTGTTGTACAGGTAACATTATATCTTTTAAGGCAAATAAGCCATTTCAACTTACATATTGTACACCTGATTAGTTTTGAAAGATAACATTATACTTATATTTGTGTTGCAAATAAATCAGATTGCTTCATTCTCTGACATGAGAAACACCGTATCTTAGTAAACATATAGCCAGATCAATTGTAATCTGACTTCACATCATAAAAATAAAAGTCAGTTACAAAACCAAAGTAGGAGGAATATAAATAAACAGAAATATAGGAACTAGAATGCTTTCTCCTTTGAGAGTTCATGGTATAGACCCACTCACAACAGCTGAATATAGCAAAATAGTCTAGTGTTTAATTAAATATTAATTGGGCTAATATGTATTTTAACACATTAAAACTATAGAAAGTCTCTGTTCATTTAGCCATTGCTTGTAAAACACAAGTATATTAAACAGAATTCAGAAAATTTAAATAAGGAAAAAGGCCTGAATGGTAAATTGTTGATATTTGCCATACTTCTTTTTGCTTTGTATATTTTTTTAGATTTGAAATTCTTTGTAATTTGGTGAAGTACATTATGAAGTGTTTTATTATTTCATGTCCATCTGATTAGAATGGCCTTTGGCAGAATGCAAACATGAACAACATTGTACAGTTTAATACCAAAAAATTATATTTTAATTCATTCTTAAACCTTGACACTACATTAGATTTGAAATCAATCAGGAAGGAATTAAAGTGTGCATAGGAAACGTGTGAATTTCATACATATAGATAGATATAACATATATTTCATATAATGGAAATTATTTGTTTTAAAATAAGCCCAGGTCCTGCTGTATCAGTAAATTAGTACTCTACTTCCTCAGCACTGCGTCTAGTGTATAGTCAAGGAATGTTTGGTCATTGGGTGGTTTTGCAAGTAACTGCTGCGTGACGAGTGTCACACGTGGCACGGTGTGTCACACGGGCCTGCAGCCTCCTCATGGCCTGTGAGCACAGTGCCCTTGAGAGGTTCCTGGCCCCGTGGCACCTCAGGCAGTGTCACCGTTCTGTCCCAGGCCCTCTCCGTGCAGGCCCCCCCGCCCCTCGCCCGGAGCAGGGGACCTCTGCATCAGCCCAGCTCAGCCTTTTACACTCAAAGCCTTGAGCCTGCCCTGCCCAGCTGGTGGGTTTGACCTCCTCCTCAGCATTTCAGAGTTGGCACCAGTGGCGAGGGCACACTGGAGGCTGGCCCATCAAGTGCTGGTTTGTGCATGCCGATTTGAGGTCTGAAGCTGGCTTGGCAGCTCCAGGTGTCAAGCTGTGTGCACTGAAAACCTGTGAAAACAGAGCCTCGGTGTAAGGGAGCTTAAATGAATCGTGAAGCAACGTTACTCCCACTACTGTTCCTTGAGCATCCTTATGATGCAGGGATACCACCGGCCAACTGCGCTTGAGGTAAGGAATATCAGCAAACCCCTTAATGTCTAGAGAGGTGCTTCCTGGTGTATGACAGGTTGACACCCACACTTACACAGTGCCTTTCATCCAGAAGGATCTCCAAGCACTTTATTAGCCAACACACAAACTCCAGGCTGGGCTGCAGCTGGGACAGGTAACCCAGCATGGCGGGATGCTGGGGGTCCTCCCACCTGTCCCCATGCTGCTGGGAGTTTCCTTCCACAGCACGCTTCCAGCATCTGGGACCTCACAGTCTGAGCCTGTGTTGAAGGAGAAGAAAAGACTCACTGAACCAAGAGGAAGACCTGAGCAAAGCAGAGATGAGGGCAATCAGTGCTCACACCATCCCCTAGGGAGTAGGCAGGGAGTGATGAGCATCAAATTAATCTTCCAGAACACTCTCTGCCTTTTCTGTTCCTGACAATAGCAGTGAGGTCCCAGCAGTGGAGGAGCTCCCTGAGAGGGTTCTGGAGGAGACTCCTGGCTGGTGCCAGGCACAGGAGCTGATGGCACTGGCAGCTGAGCCCTCTTGGTCAGGAATCTTGGCAAGTCTCCCCTTCGCATGTGCATTTCCCCCGCGTTCGTAGCGGGAGAGATCCATCCGGGGTCCTTGATGCACGAGCAGCCTTCCCCAAGAGCCCTGTTCTCTCCCCAGGTCTGCCCTCCAGCCCAGCTAACTCGAGGGATGACGTGAGGCACGGCACTGAGGCATGATGATTGTGCTTTGGTTTGGGCAGCTGCTCTTTTGTGAGACTCAGCCCCAACCCTAAGGGTTCTTTGATGGCAGAGCAATGGGGGCAGCTCTCTCTGCATGGACAGGATCAGCAGATCAGAGGCCACCATTTCATACTGCACAGAAGAGAAAGAGGATATATACATATGTCAATATACACACATAATGATTTTTCACTGTCAGGGTTCCAGAGAGCCAGACCCAGGAGCCACACTCAACACTCTCATTCCTGTAGATTGTGCACTTTCTTGCAGCTCATCCTCAGCGCTGATGTCT